CTTTCTTTCCCCTTATCTTTTCTTTCCTTTCCTTTCCTTTTTTTTTATTTTTTCTTTATTTTTTTCTATCTTTTTACATGAGGTGTGCATGAGGCACATGAGGCGTATGCCTCTAGCACGCCTCATGAAAAAAACATATGAGACGTATGCCTCTTGCCCCTGAGGCGTACGCCTCAGAGGTGTCAGCACCTCTGGTATATGCCTCAGACGTACACCTCCCGCCGTACACCTCCCACGCCTTTTAAAACACTGGTCTGGTCGATGGAGGTCCTTTTAGCAATAAAACTTATTGTATTTGATTTATGCGATATTTTCAATCTACAGAAAGCAGTTCCAAAATTTTCTATACCCTATAGAATACTCTGGAAATCTTTTCCTCTATCTATTTTTCTGCCGGACCTGGTTTTCCCTTGTTTGCCTATTTTGTTTGTATGAGAACCCCAAGTATCTAGGGTCCTATAGACTATGGAGACAACTATAGGAGAAGGATTTGTTTGAGCTAGTGATAGGTGTTTTTGCAGGTTTTGTGATTGATGAAGTATTCCATGGATGTGAGAAACTTTGCAGTGGCCAAGACTTAGAGGAAGCAAGAAAGCCAAAATCATGTGGAGTTGCATTCCCTTTGCAGTTTTCTGGTAACTATGGAATGAGAGGAACATAAGATTATTGAGAATAAATCAAAGATCATCGAATTAATGGTAACAGCAGTGGGTAAACTTGTAACATAATAGGTTTTGGTCCTTCTATATTTTGACCAAGTTAACAGATCTGATTTGTTAGAGAATTTCTGGAGTGTTCTTGAATTGAAACCTGTAATGTGGATTCATTTACAGTCTGATTAGATGTATTAGTTTTTTGGTGTGTCATCTTGACAATCAATTGGTTTGTAATGTATGCTTATTTTATTTTAATGAAAGTTTTTTTTTATCCTTCAAAAAAAAAAAAAAGAACCCATTCTAGTGGTTATGTAGGAGCCTTCCGAGAAATGCTAATCTCCTGTCCTTTCTCTTCTAGTATTTGGGAGTGGTTCCTAGCCCTATTCAGTGCTAGATGTCTCCTCCAAGTGACATGATCACCATTTTTTTCATTTCATTCTTTAATCCAACCAAGAAAAAAAGGGGAAACTTTTATGGAGGTGTATGAGGGCAGTCATACTTTGGGTAATTGCCTTTCTTTTATATGAATGCAGCCATAATTTGGACTCTTATGGGAAGAAGAAATTCAAGAATCTTTAAGAAAATAAGCTCTCCAAGAAGAAATTCAAGATTATTGCTCTCTTTTCTTTTCAACTTCTCTTCTTCTCTTCTTCTCTTCTTCTCCTTCTCTCTTCCTTCTCTCTTCAAGAAACTACTTTTCTTTCATATTTTTTAATTCAGCAGATTTCTACTATTGTGCTGAAGAGCAGAGAGTTCCTCTTCATAGATTTTTGCCACCCTGGTAAGGTAAGAGTCTCCTGAACATCCTTAGATATGCATACAGAGGATAACAAGGTAATAAACTCGCGATGGGAAGCAGAAAGGTGAGATACAAAAACATAATTGGATATGGGGTGTAGCGTGCAACTACGTTTACCTTTCCGCAATGCAATAGGAAGGTCAAGATCAAAAGGCAATTAGGTTGTGGAAAGAGCTGGATCTGCTGCCGGAGTAGAAGGTGGTGGAGGTGCTGGTCTCTGTCGATGAGTATACACTTGATGGATTAGTGGTCTTTCGGTACGCTCCTGCATTGGGGAAGGTGGAGACTCAGGCATAATGGGAACCACCGGAATGGAATTATCAACCAGAAGAGGAAGAGGAACCTTTATAGGAGAAGGAGGGATATCAAAACCAGAGAAGTACGGCACCGGATTGTAGCATTTAGACCCTTTCTGGGTCCTAGGAAGATACATTTAATGGAGCAAGCATCCAACTTGTCTAGACCAGGACCAAGATTTTGAACAAAGCACACACACTCGAAGATCCTGGGAGTCGGGGGATATGGTGTCAAAGTGGGAAATAAGATAAAGAACGGAGAACGACCATCAAGAATGAACGAAGGCATGCGATTAATGAGAAAACAAGCAGTAAGTACTGCATCACTCCAGAAACGTTTATGAACATTCATATGATGAAGAAGAGACCGAGTTGTTTCAAGTAGATGTCGATTCTTCCTCTCAGCCACCCCATTTTGCTGAGGGGTGTGGGCACAAGATGTCTGATGAATAATACCATGTTGTTCCAAGTATTACTGAAATGAAGAAAGAAAATACTCTCTGCCATTGTCGGAATGAAGAATTTTAAGTGAAACACCAAATTGTATACGCACTTCAGCATGAAACTTTTGGAAAATGAAAAATAATTCACTTCTTTCTTTTATTAAATAAAGTCATGTCATTCTTGAATAGTCATCAACAAAGATAACAAAATATGTGTAACCACTATAAGACTCAATTCTGATTGGACCCCAAACATCTGAATGAACTAAATCAAAAGGACTCAACATACGACTATCAACTCTAGTACTGAAGGAAACCCGATGGTGTTTCCCATAATGGAACGACTCACACTGCAAAGACGACAGATGACTCAAAGACAGAACAAGAAGCTTGAGAGCTTTAAGAGATGGATGGCCGAGTCTACAATGTCATTGAAGAGGAGTCAAAGAGGTTTGAAGTGCAACTGTAGAGCCACCACCATCAAGATAATACAATCCACTAGCTTCATGCCCTCCACCAATCTTCTTCACCGTCGTTAGATCCTGAAAAACACAAGAGGAAGGGTGGGTAAAATGTGATAGAACAATTGAGGGATTTGGTTAGTTTACTAACAGACATAAGATTAAAAGGAAACTTGGGAACGTATAAAACAGAAGACAAAGAAAGAGATGTTGTGTTAACATTACCAACACCGTAAATGGGGGAAGTAGATCCATTGGCAAGGGTAGCATTATTTGATGTAGAGGTTGGAGAAAGGGAGGAAAACACACCTGGAGTCCTGGACATGTGATCAAAGGCTCCAGAATCAATTATCCAGTGTGAAGGTTTGGATGCTAGGCAAGTTATACCTGAATAAGCAAGGGTGGCAATGTTCTGATGTGAAGTGGCCTGAAGAAATCTCTCATACTCCTCTCTTGGAATACTCATCATCTCCTTCCCAGAAGTAGTTGTGACTGTAGAAGATGATGGATCAACTAGTTGAGTACCACTGACTTCATTACCACCAACAACTACATGATTAGCCCATGTGGATGGTGAGCCATGCAAATCATAACAGAAGTTAATTGTGTGTCCTTCTCTCCCACAATGTGTGCATTTCCTAGTAGTGCTCCCCCTTCCTATGCCACGACCTCCCCCTGAATCACGACCTCCACTACTATGACCACCCATAGGGTTATCACGGCCCCCCTTAACTGTATGACCACCTCCTCTGTGCCCATAAGAACCACCTCGAGTGCCAACAAGTGATGATCTGTCGAAAGGTATGTTACTCTCTGTGGGGCTAAGAGATATCCTACAGAGACAAGCAAACACTTCTTCTAGAGTAGGGAGAGCAAACCCTCCCAATATCTGTGCTCTGACAGGTTCATACTCTGCTTCCAGTCCCACCAAGAACCATGTAACATCTAATTGTACCCTTTGTCGCTGCTGAATTTTGATGTCTAGAGTTAAGGGATGATAAGACATTAAGTTCATTCCGAAGATTTTTTATACTGGCATAATATTCTTCAAGGGTCTGATTTCCCTGCTGCAAACTGAAGTATTCCTGATAAAGCTGATAAACCCTTGTAGTGTTGTCTTGTCCAGAATAGAGTTTCTTGGCATGTTCCCATATATCCCTTGTTGTATCTAAAAACATGAAGCTAACACTGATTTTAGGCTCCATATTGTTCTACAACCACGTCATGATTTGAGTATCCTCTTGCTCCCAATCACTAAAACCCGGGGATTCAGCACTAGGTTTCTCCTCCCGTACATGTTTCACTTTCTTCTTAGCCTTCAGAAACACTTCCACCGACTTGGCCCACGGAACATAGCTTTCACCATTGAGTTTGATGGATGTCATCTGGACACTTGAAAAATCAGAGGAGATCATCACACTCGATTTTTGGTCACCACTCGCATCACCCATCAATGCCATTTCAATCTACGAAGTCCATTCTGCCCATCACACAACAAAAAATCAGTTCCAACCACTGCACTACTGTTCTTCAACTACCACACCGGCACACTTATAATCACCACGAACTTGCCCTAGCATGCATTCGGCCACTTTGAACACCACTGTACTGCGAACAGGCAGACTTAAAACCACAGAGAATCCCTCTTGAAACTGCTCATTAGAGGGTTCAGACCACCACGACTGCACCTACTCGACCACCACAGCTGTCATGCATGGTGGCAGCAGTCCAAACGAAAAAAAAAAATTCTGTTCACTCGAACTGTTGCACTCGTCCCCTGTCACCAGAAGTCAAGCCACCAAAACCCTAGAGGTTGCCGTAGAAATCCGGGTTTCGCCGCAGTCTTCTAACCCAGATTTCTCACACCAGAAAAAAAAAAAAAAAAAAGAAGAAAGGGAAGAGAGCAGATCAATAGAAAGCTGTAATCGACTCTTATCAGTAGCGCTCTGATACCATGTTAGTATTCAGTTGGACTGAGAAGAGAGAAAGAAGAGAGAGAAGGGAGAGAGGAAGAAGAAGAAGAAGAGAAGAAGAATAGTGTCAAACTGAGAAGACTTCGAGTCTAACCCAGTCGACCATATATTTAAATTTGGCAAACAAGTATACAAAGACAGAAATGCCCCTATATATGTAGGAGGCATATAACTAACACATTACTTAGATGGAAAAGACTAAAATATCCTCTTTAGTCGACTCTAACACTACCCTTGCCCGCAGGTCAAACAAGCCTGCCTAGTTCAATCCCCAAGCTGAGATGTAAAACATCTTTTCAATTAATCATGTGGGATATTGAGCAAGATTCAAATTCTAGATCAATATTTGCAATTCTAATAAGTCTAGATTACCTTCTCAGATGCAAGACCCAATTGATTTGAGAGATCTTCCTTAACAGCTCTTGAAGGAAGTTCATTTTCAGCGAAGACTTGGCGAAGTTTCTGCCAAAGCATATTGGAAAAACATAACTAGCAGATGTGGTAAGCATAAAAATTTCATAATAAATAAAGAGGTTTTCAGTCAACATTGCAGATGGATTAATAAGCACGGTGTTGTGAGGCTTAAATTGACAGGTATTTCAACATTGTGTAGTAAGAAGTCCAATTACCTCAACTGCACTTGGTGGAATCCTGAAAAGTGGTTTTTTATCTCTTGAAACTGAGTGCTTTTTCTCCTTTGTTTCTATCGGTACAACATTGGAACAAGCATTCTCATTTTCACACAAGGTCATTAGGGTGTCTACCGCATCAGACTCCTTTTCTCTACGTGTTTTTCTACCAGGTCCCCAGTCTTCATCTTCGCTAACTTGTTCATTTTCAGCCACATCTTTGCCAAACATTTCCTAGGAGAATATCAAACATAAGAAATTATCCTAGGAGAATATCAAACATAAGAATTATAAAAATGCAATGTTCCACTTGCATATGCTGAATATATCAATATCAGACATGAAAATAGTACATGGTTATCTGATGTTTGATGAAATTTAGTACAAATATATTTGGCTGATAATAGTTGTGATTCAGATCAAATAAATAATAAAGATTAATTTTGTAATGTGAGATTAGAGAATAATACTCCTACTGTCCTACATATTCAGATAAAAAGACAACAATACCTTTTTTGAATTATTATGTAAAAAAAGTAAGACTAACAACACTCCTCCTCAAGCTAAAAGCATAGACATTACTTGGATTACGGAAACAGAAAAAATAATTCAATATTCGACAAAAAGAAGAAAGTAGAAGAGAAGGTAATAAGAGAATATATCACATTTCTCCTCTCATATGTTGATGATATACTTATTATAGGGGATGGCATTAATGGAATAAAACAGCTTAAAGTGCTTCCATGCCAATCATTTTAAAATGAACGATTAGGCATATTGACCTATTTTTTGGGTTTGTAGGTTCAGTATACCTCTCAACGCATATTGACCTATCTTTCAACCCAAGAAGGAAAAGGGGAAAGTTGGTGTGAATGATATGGCAAGAAAGGAATTCAATAATTTTTTCTATCAATAACAGAAACCAATTCATTAATGGACATTATAATTACAACATTCCAAGAAGAGATAAAGTGGCTTAACTCTCCCAAAAAAAGAAAATAAGATTACAATAAAGCCCAAAACCATTGTTCCCTTCCCACCCCTTGTTTTGCCAATGTATCTGCAAAAGCATTTATAGTCCTCTTCACCCACTAAAACTGAACCTCCAACGCCATAGTTAGCCATTTAGCCTCCCTTCTCTCATTTGCATATTTCCACAGTCCACTATCCTTCTATAACCAGATTACAACCAACTTTGGGTCTCTTTCAACAATTAGTCTATGGATATTCAGCTCCTTTGCCTTTCTTAACCCTTCCATTAAGGCACATACCTCATCTCTGAGAGAGTCTCCATTCCCAATGGGGCAGGAAAACAGAGCAATCACCTTTCCATTCTCATCTCTGAACACCCCGCCAACACCAGAGGGTCCTGGATTGCCTTCACTGCTGCCATAAAAATTTAGTTTTATAAACCCTTGGGCTGGTGGAGACCACATAGGACAGACCACTAATGAAAAAGGGGCAGAATTTGCCACTTCCACCCAGCTGTTCAGCAGCATACCTTTGGAGACATTAGCAAACAAATCCAAAGACTTGAGCCAATGCACCACCCTAACCATTATTACCTCAATGAAACCTTCTTTGTTCCTTTCCTCATCTTCAAAGTCTTAGAGTTCCTTTGGTTCTTTCTTCCCAAATAGTCCAGAAGATGGCAGCCCTCACACACCTCCTTATGCCATCTAAGGAAAGAAGTAGCAAACAAGTTTCGTATATTTGGTGAAGGGGTCCACCTGCAACCAAATAAAGAAAAGAACCATTCCCATATAACAGAAATAAAAGGGCAAGAAATTAGTAAGTGCTAGGAGCTTTAACCATTAGCCTTGCAGAGGGTGCACTAGCTTGGGGACAAGCACCATGTGTTACATCTTTCCAGGAATGCCTCCCAACAAAAAGCTCCAATCCTTGGGGAAATCAGCTCACCCCATACTTCCTTGACTGGAAAAGATTGAATGAAGATGTTAGTCTATTGTGCCAAGGACTTAAAGAAGGAAGCACAAGAAAAAGCCGTAGAGGAAGGTAAAGTCCAAATTATACTGTCCCTTTTTAAGGGATCAAAACCACCCCGTTCAAAATCTGAATTAAGTCCACAATAGTTCCCACCTCAAACTCCCTAAGGCCTCTTTTAAGACCCAAATCCCAATCATACCCAAAATTTGACTCGGAAGGAACCAAAAAATCAAACACACACTTCCCTTTGAAATGGGAGAGGGAGAATAAGAGGAGAATTGGTCTTTCAGAGGTACATCCCCCACCCACAAGTGTTCCCAAAATTTTACCTTGTTGAGTTTTGGGCTGATATCATTTGTTTTTTATTTACATAGCAGAATTAGGGAGTTATTGGGCCCAAGGTCCATTAGTTTGTGTTTAAGTTAAGAGTATTTTTTATCCTTTACAAGTAACCAACTTACTAAGAATGTACTTGTCTTTGTTTTCAGTTTTATTTGTGAGTATATAAGCTAATGAAAGGGGCGGCCAGACCTACTTTTTGGGCTTCTCCCATTCCCTTCAATTTATCTCTTATTTTCTTCTCTGCATAAACCTTCTCTTCTCTTTCTTTTTCTCTTTCCTACACAGGTTTTATATCAAAACAGATCTTCTACACTTTTCTACTTGGTACCAGAGCAAGTTTAGAAATTGGATGTGTATGCTTTGTCCATGTTCTTGGTCCTCACCACTTAAAGTTGGACCCTAAGGCAAAGAAATGTGTCTTCCTTGGGTATGCAGGGAGTCGGTATGTTACAATGGATGTCACATTTTTTGAGTTCACATCTTTTTTCTTAGAGGGTTCTTCTCAAGGGGAGTGTTTTGGGGGAGTAAGTGAGCAATCTAATACCACCTCCTGTTCTAGCTCCTTTGTCCACTCTAGTTTCTAACCCACCTACTCCACCCACTTTGCCACCTCCATTGTATCCTGCCTCTTAATGTTTTACATGACAACGCCTACGATAGTACAAGGAGGTTGATTCCACAGCAGAGGAACCCACGTCACTCCCTATTGACTCATCAGAGATTCCAGGTTCGATTGACACAGACCCAGGTATGCCTCTTGTTGAAGATTAATCAGTTTTATGATGTTTTTTATGAGTAGATGTTTTATGTTAGTTGTTAGATAGGAGGTGGGGACCACAGTAGTTATGTGAGTCCAAATTTTATTATGTTTTTGTGTCCTATATATGCTGCTTTATGTCTTGCCACCCTATAAGGCCATAGTTGTCTTTGAACAGCTCTATTATTTTTAGTATAAATAATAAGTGAAGGGGGCGGCCAGATGATTGCTATCCTTTCTTTTCAACTTCTCTTCTTCTCCTTCTCTCTTCCTTCCTTCTTCAAGAAACTCCATTTATTTCACATTTTTTAATTCAGCAAGCTTTCTACTTGGTATCAAAGCGGCGGGTAGGGTTTCTAGAAGCATTCCCATGCAGCCCTAGATCAGCCGACTGCATGAAGTAATAAAGGGTTGATCAATCTACTGTAGATTGCCCAGTTCTTGAATTTTTTGGTGGGGTCTAGTCATCAGGAAGGTGATCTACCGTTCRGCATCAAAATCAGGAAGAACTGGAGTACGGGGAAGAATCCCAGAAAAGTTGGACTCTTTGTTTTTTATCTGGACTTGGGCAGCCAGGTATAGTTAGCTTTCTTTTGATTTTCTAAAGAGTGCGGTTTGGTTTCTGGATTTTTCTGAGCCTCCTGGAGTGATCGATTCACTCTTCTCTCTATTGGGAGGCGTAGGGAGGAGAGAGATTTCTCTCCAACTAGGTTTTTCTTCTTCCGGAAGGGTTTTTTCTGTGTGTGTGATATTAAATTGTTTTTGGAAGGTTTCCAATCTATTTTTTCTTACTGTTGAACTGTTTGAAGTAAGATGGAGAGTTGGAATGCCAAGATGAAATCGACCGGTACTATGGGACTGGGTGTTGGAGGTAGTAGTGATATTTTTGGGTCTAGGATCATTACTACAGTAAAACTTGAGGGTACAAATTATTTGGAGTGGGCACAATCAGCTACCTTCTGGATGAGATTCCGAGACATCAGGGCCATTAGGTTAGCAGCAGCAGTAGTAGTGGGTCAGAGTCAGCGAACCAAATTATGCTCCAGCACAATCACTTGGGACACCTTTCTTTTAGTTCTTTGAAATGTCTTTTCCCAAAGTTGTTTGAGTCTGTTCAATTATCTACTTTGGAGTGTGAGAGTTGTCAATTAGGAAAGCATTGTACACAGTCTTTTAAACCAACTAATAAAAGAAGTACCTTTGCTTTTAATATTGTTCACACTAATGTAAAGAGGCCATATCATATCCCTTCCATGGGAGGATTCCGTTATTTTCTCTTGTTTGTGAATGATTATACACGATATTCTTGGATATATTTGATGAGATTACGTGATGACGCTCCTAACTTGGTACGATAGTTCCACCAGATGGTTCTCACACAATTTGAAGTGAGAACTAAGGTTTTTAGATCAGATAATGCCAGAGAGTACTTTTAGAAGGACCTGACCACGTATCTCCTAGAACATGGGGTAATTCATCAAAGCAGTTGTGCATATACACCACAACAGAATGGAGTTGCTGAGAGAAAAACAGACACATTGTGGAGGTGGCAAGGAGTCTTATGGTGTGTGCCTCAGTTCCTGTGCAGTTCTGGGGAGATGCAGTTCTTATAGCCGTGCATTTGATTAACTGTATTCCTTCTCGGACTTTGGGGTTTAAGGTGCCATTTAGTCTACTTTTTCCAGATGGGGAGATATTTCATATACTTCTGAGGGTTTTTGGGTGTGTTTCCTTTGTTCACATCTTGGCCCTCATCACAAGAAATTGGATCCTAAGGCCAAGAAATGTGTTTTTCTTGGGTATGCTCAGAACCAAAAGGGGTGTTACTGTTATGACCCAGTGTCGAAGAGCAGATTTGTCACAATGGATGTTACCTTCTTTGAATCCACCTTCTTCTCGAGTGGTTCTTCTCAGGGGGAGATTTTTGGGGAGGAGAACTCACAATTTGTTCATCTTCCTTTTTCTTTGGTCTCTCCATCAGTTCAGCCAACACCTCCATCAGTTCAGCCAGCATTTGCATCAATTCAACCAACATCTGCATCAGCTCAGCCAGCACCTGCACCTCCATTTTCATTACCTAAGCCACTACGGGCAGCCTTACAGAAATATCAGCGTCGGCAGATGATGGATGACTCCACACATCCTCAACCCACACCACTCTCTGTCAGTCCTTCTGAAATTCTAGATTCGACAGATACAGTTCCAGGTATTCCTCTTGAGCCTGAGCCTGTTATGTTTTCTGATGATAATGTTTCTATCCCTAACACCATTATTGCAGCTGATCCCACTGACCTTGATCTTCCCATTGCACTTCATAATGGGAAGGGAAAGTGGACAGCCCACTACATTTCACACCATCTTTCCTGCAGTGCCTTATCACCCTCCTACTATGCTTTTCTTTCTTCCCTGGATTCTGTGTCTATACCTAGGAATGTTACTGAGGCTCTCTCCAAACCTGAGTGGAAAACAGCCATGCAATATAACATGGATGCTTTGGTCAAAAACCAAACTTGGGAAATAGTTGATCTCCCCCTAGACAAAGAGACAGTCGAATGTAGATGGGTATTCACAGTGAAGGATAAGGTTGATGGCAAGATAGAGAGATACAAGGCAAGGTTGGTAGCAAAAGGGTATACTCAAACCTATGGTGTTGATTATCTGGAAACCTTTGTACCAGTATCTAAGATGAGTTCAGTTCGTATCCTTTTATCTCTAGCAGCTACTTATTCATGGCCTTTGTTTCAGCTTGATGTCAAAAATGCCTTCCTTAATGGTGATTTACAGGAGGAAGTATATATGGACATTCTACCAGGCTTTTATGAGAATGTTGGTAAGGGAAAGGTGTGCAGACTTAGAAAATCTCTGTATGGACTAAAACAGTCACCTAGGGCTTGGTTTGACAGGTTCAAAGGGGCACTCATCCGTTTTGGATACACATAGACACAGTCTGATCACACTCTCTTTGTGAAGAGGAGAGATACTCTGGTGTCAATTCTGATTGTATATGTGGATGATATAGTGGTGACAGAAATGATCTGGAGGAGATTTATGATCTAAAATAATCATTGTAGCAAGAATTTGAGATCAAAGATCTTGGTGAGCTCAAATACTTCTTGGGGATTGAAGTTGCAATATCCAAGCATGGGATCTTCATTTCACAGAGGAAGTATGTACTTTACCTATTGCGGGAGACTGGGAAGCTGGGGACCAAACCAGCAGACACTCCTATTGATCCAAATCATAGAATTAATGGTGTGGATGGTGAGTTGGTAAAGGATGCAGGGAGATATCAAAGAATGGTGGGCCGACTGTTGTATTTGTGTATGACACGACCAGATATTTCTTATGCTATCAGTGTTGTGAGTCAGTACGTGCATGTACCTCGGGTTCAGCACTGGGAAGCTATTGAGAGGATATTTGCATATCTAGAAAAGCACCCTGGCAGAGGGTGCTATACAGATGCAGACTGGGCAGGATGCTTAGATGACAGGAGGTCTACATCAGGAGTGTATACCTTTGTAGGTGGAAACTTGATCTCCTGGAAGAGTAAGAAGCAAGCGGTTGTGGCAAGGTCAAGTACAGAGGCTGAGTATAGATCCATGGCTCATGGTGTCTCAGAACTTCTTTGGGTTAGATTTCTCTTGAGTGAGATTGGGGTGAAAGCAAAGGAACCTATGATGTTATACTGTGACAATCAGGCTGCAATCAATATTGCCCATAATCCAATTCAGCATGATAGGACAAAACACATTAAAGTTTATAGACACTTTATAAGAGAAAGGGTAACAACCGGAGAAGTTTGTTTGCTTTATGTCTCTTCAGAGTTGCAGCTGGATGATGTTCTCACTAAAGGGGTGGCAAAGAACAAGCTTGAACATGATCTACGCAAGTTGGGAATGCGTGACATTTACTCCCAACTTGAGGGGGAGTGTTGAAGATTAATCAGTTTTATGATGTTTTTTATGAGTAGATGTTTTATGTTAGTTGTTAGGTAGGAGGTGGAGACCACAGTAGTTATGTGAGTCCAAATTTTATTATGTTTTTGTGTCTTATATATGCTGTTTTATGTCTTGCCGCCCTATAAGGGCATAGTTGTCTTTGTACTGCTCTATTATTTTTAGTATAAATAATAAGTGAAGGGGGTGGCCAGATGATTGCTTTCCTTTCTTTTCAACTTCTCTTCTTCTCTTCTTCTCCTTATCTCTTCCTTCTTTCTTCAAGAAACTCCTTTTATTTCATATTTTTTAATTCAGCAAGCTTTCTACTCCTCTTGTTTCCTCTGATGATTTAGTTCCTACTAATACTACTACCCCTACTTCTAATACCATTGCAGATGACCTAGATCTTGCTATTGCACTCCGAAAAGGGAAGAGGAAGTGTACTACTCATTGCATCTCACACTATCTTTCCTACAGTGGATTATCTCCTTCCTACCGGGCCTTCCTTTCCTCCCTTGACTCTATGCCTATACTCAGGAGTGTTAATGAGGCTCTCTCCAAACCTAAGTGGAAAACAGTTATGCAAAAGGAAATGAAAGCATTGATTGAAAATCAGACATGGGAGATTGTGGATTTACCTTATGGCAAGGAGACCGCTGGATGTAGATGGATTTATACAATGGAGTACAAGGTTGATGGAAGTATAGAAAGGTACAAGGCGAGGCTAGTTGCAAAAGGGTACACTCAGACTTATGGCATAGATTACTTGGAGACTTTTTCACCAATGGCAAAGATGAGCTCAATCCGGATTCTTCTATCACTAGCAACTACATACTCTTGGCCACTCTTTCAACTTGATGTGAAGAATGATTTTCTTAATGGGGACTTGCAAGAGGAGGTGTACATGGATCTTCTAGCTGGTTTTTATAACGATGTGGATAAAGGAAAGGTATGTAGATTGAATAAGTCTCTATATGGTTTGAAGCAATCACTTTCTGGTTTGTAACAACAAACCTAATTAGTACCTGTTTATAATTGTAATAAATTTAGAATTAATAAATAGATCTTTTAGGGGTGAGGTCCAAACTTTTAGTTACCCAATTACTTTCTGGTTTGTGAAACCTTTTCTTTGTCTAAGGAATATAGGTATAAATCCTCATAGGCTTACAGTTTCAAGGGTTTTCCTTCCAATACTCTAGGTAAGTTTTGTCCAAATTGGGGTTTCCCATTCATGGAATCTGATCCTTGGCTGAATCCTCCACTAGAGTCTGATATTCTAGTTGACTTTGCATATTTCTGGTTGCCATTTAGACCTATTTTCTAAAGACATCGACTTACTACAACAGGAACACTTTAATTGTTTGAGAAAATACCTCTTAATAATCAAGATGGCTGCTACAGTCATACAGTAATGCTGTAAGACAAAGGTAAATTCAGTTTTCTACAGCCCCTCCTAAGTTTCCTCCACCACTGGTAAACCATTATTGGCATTTAAGCTCAAATTTTCTTTTGCACTCAAATGGGCAGTAAAGACAGCCTCAAGGATTTGAACAACGAAGTGTTTGTAAGTATGATGGGAAATAATCCCCCCTAGGGGTATACCAGACCACATAGTAAGAACACGAAACTTTCATGATTACAACACTAGAAGAAAAAGTAATCAGTTCTAAGCAGGAAATACAGAACGCTTGTCATGCAAGTAAAAAGAAGTTTTCATTTCCATTTAAAATTTTGAGTTTTAGAGAACTCACATCATGCAGTTTCTTATAATCAACATCTTTTCTCTGTCTACAGCGGCTTTTAATTTCTCGGTCAATGTTGTTATAAGAAGCATCTCCAATGAATGAGTCAACAAATTTATTGTCATCTCCCCTCATTGTATTTCTACCTTGAGAACCTTCATCTTCATCTCCTGATCTTCTGGATTGCAAGCTAGCTTCTTCCCCAAATGACCACGATAAACTGCTGAAACTGCTTGCATCATCAGAAATGTTATCTTCGATACTTGTTTCACTACAGCTTTTTTCATTTCTTTCTGGATCATAATCACAATCTTCAGAATCATCAGATGGCCATTCTTCTTCTGGATTTAGAGATGCACTCCCCCCATCTGGCAATTCAGCTGCTTCCTTGAAAACATCCTACCGTGTTCCCATAAGACTAACTTCATTAATTTACTACCGAAACACAAGCAAATAAAAGGTTCTTGAAAATCTTTCTGTAATCCACCTGCCAATTACTGTTCATAGGGAATTGTGTCCCAAGATGAGCATTCACTGCATCTAGTATTTCCATCTTACACTCACAGAATTTGCAATACCATCCTTGGTCTCCTGGAGGTACTGCAATATTAACAATTACACAGGGATCAGTTTCATCCAGAAGAAATAGGCAAAATAACTGTAACAGTAAATTGTGATGGGTATCCATATCCAGGTAAGGCAAACCACAAGCTTTGGTAACACTATGTCAGCCAAGGGTAACTAGCCCATAGTAGAAATCTTGGGCCTAGACATACAACCTAAAATATATATTATTTTGTAAAGAAAAAATCTGTATGTAAAATATGCCATGTTTACTACTTAATCAAAAAAAGAGAGCATGTTTATGACTAGTGAAGCTGAAATCGGGTTTTGGTTAGCTCTTCAGTTTTCAGCTGTCCAAGATAAGTCTGAACTGAATGAAGTAGATCACCCACTGCCAACACCGTACAGTGTGTGCATGGTTATCAACAGCCCAGGCAAAGTATGATCATGAAATAGAGTATGACTTACCACTCGATGAATAAAAACAATCCAATAAAAGGATTCTAACCATCTGGCAGTAGGCTTACTATTTTCCATTTGTATAACTCTATAAAGTAAAGAACTGAGAAGAATGGCTTACTATTTTCAGTTGCTAATGGAGGATCCAGACATTTCTGGTGGAAAGCACAATTACAAGTCCCATCACACAGTATAATGTCATTATCTGGGAAAGCATCTCGTAACTTGCATTTTGCACAGAAAATCTAGATGGAAAGCAAAATTAGTAAATAAAATTCTATGCAAAGCACAAGGAAATAAAATTTTGTATAAGAATGATAAGTAGTCTAAGGGGCCATTTGATAACAGTTGAAGTGGCTGAACTGAATGACTTATTGCTTTCTCTTCTAGAAAAAAAATTCAGGAGGTTGCAAACTCCTTAAGGGCTAAAGCTGAAGTTCAGTTGATTACTATACTCTTGAATATTTTATTATTTAATAATTTTTTTGAAATAGTTTATTTTATTTCTTGTTTATTATTTTCTGTCTTGTTAGGGTCCATTTGGTAGGTTTAAAGTCTTTTTTTATTTGCTGTTATTGTACTTTATTTACAGCAGGGGCACAAGGGTCTTTTTCCCTTTTATTTTAGTTGCCCTATAAATATTAATTGAATCTGGTGCCACCAGAGCTATTCCATTGTCGTCAATCTCTCTTCTTCTCTTCTACCTTCTCTCTTCTTCCTCTCTTCCCTTCTCTCTCTTATTTCTAGTCGACTTTACTGTCAAGATGATATCAAAGCGGGATTATTGATTGTGAGAGCAGATCGAACAAGTTTTTTTTTCTATTTCGACTTGCTGAATCTGGGTGAAACAGAGAACTGAATCTGGGCTGAACAAAACTGATCTACGACTGGTACAGTCCTTTTTTTCTCTCTTTTACCTTTCTTGGTCGTGTACCAAGAGAAAAATCAAATGAATATGGGCTGCTGAATGTTGTCAGACCTTTGTGAGGTTTATACCTCTTTTTTCTTGGATTGTGTGATCCTATACCTGTGAAAAGGTGACTGTAGGTCACGGATGACCTGTTATCTCCAGTTTTTGGTTTGATTACAAGTGTTTAAGGATCTCTCCTGATGATTAATGTTCTTAGACATTCTGGAAGGTTGGTAGGTTGGGACTGTTAACCCGTACAGGTCTGAAATCAGTTTGATCTTGCCTTTTTCTGGAAGTTGGTGCTGTTTTTTGCTCAGTTTTGAGTCCAAACCAAAGTGTGTGTGTGTGTGGACTGATTACTTGTGTGGAGCTAAGTTTTTTTTTGGTGTAAGGAGGGATCCTAAGTTGAGTGTTGAGACTGAAATTCTTTTTTGACCATGTCCTCTGAGAATTCTGCTACTTCGGGGGTTTCAGGAAGTCAAAATGGAGTGAGTGGGGGAATGGACATAAGTTTTCCCATGGCTGTAATTCCCTTTGATGGACTAAACTACCTTGAATTAGGGGAATAAAACTCAACATCACTGCTAGGGGGAAAATAGGATATATTAATGGGAAAATGAAAGAACCAAAGAATGGAAGTTCTGAATATGATAGGTGGAACCAAGAAAATAGTATGGTRATGTCATGGCTCTTGGTTTCCATGCTGCCACAAGTAAGAAAGACATTCATGTGGGCTGAAACAGCTTGTGAAATATGGGAACAAGAAAAATCTATTTATTCAGAGCAAAGGCACTATGCCAAGATATATCAACTGCAAGCTGAATCCTCTACTTGCAAGCAGGGGGAGAGGAGTCTCTCAGTGTACTACTCAGATCTGACATCAATCTGGAAAGAATTGGATCATTATCAAAATGTGAATTGGAAATGTGATGAAGATGCAAAGGCATACAAGTCACTTGTCTCTCAGCAACGGGTATTTGCTTTTCTTTTGGGGTTGAATCCTTCATATGAGTCTATTAGAGTAAAGATCTTGGGAAGTAAAGACTTGCCATCAATTCAGGAGGTTTATGCCTTAGTCCAATTAGAAGAGATTAGAAGAAGTGTGATGAATTGTGCAGAGGGGGAGACGGTTTCCCTAGCTATCCAAGGAAGTACAAATTCTAATGTTAGAGGCTCCTTTAAGAAGGGTGATTCTCAGAAGAGAGTGGATGACAAGAGTAAACTTTGGTGCACTCACTGTTAGAAGACAAGACACACCAGAGATACATGTTGGAACCTCCATGGGAAACCTAAATGGGCATAGGAATTGAGTAAGAAGTCAATAACTAATCAGGGTAAGAAACCAATCCAGCAAAATCAGAAAAAGTATAACTCAGCTAATATGGCATCTCAAGAGACTAGTCCCATGGTAACTCAAGAAAGGAACCTTAGTTCTTACCCTAAGGAAGAGATTATCAACTCCTTTTGTGACCATTTGGAGTTATATGGTAGGACTCTTCGCCAGATGGATTCTGGTCCTACTCCTTCTACCTCCTTTGCGTCTACATCAGGTAACACTGCCATTGCTTTCCATGTGTCATCTCATACATCTAATTCCCCTTGGATAATTGACTCTGGAACCTCAAACCACATGACTATTAAATCAAATTTATTTCAGGCATATAACCTCCTCTTTGGGAGAGATAAGGTGAGACTAGCTGATGGTTCATTCTCCACCATAGCCGGCCAAGGAACCACATTTCTCCCACTCGGCCTTACCCTCTCTAATGTGTTGCATGTTCCTAAATTGCCTATAAATTTGCTCTCCATTAGCAGTATTACTCACTCCTTGAATTGTTCAGTTACTTTCTTTTCATCTTCATGTGTGTTTCAAGATTTGGCCTCGGAGAAGACGATTGGTAAAGGAAGCATGGTGGATGGTCTCTACGTGTTGGAGAATAAAGCTGGTCTTGTGGTTATAGAGTCCTTGATTTCGTCCAGTGATAGTCAAGCCAAATTATGGCACAGTCGTCTTGGTCATCTTTCTTTCGAGTCATTAAAAGTTATGTTTCCAGAATTACTTAAGTCTTTGTCGATTAGTAAGTTGTAGTGTTAGACATGTCAATTGAGCAAACATTGTAGAAGTTCTTTTCCTTTAAGAAATAAAATATCTGAATTTTCGTTTCATATTGTTTATTCTGATGTTTGGGGCCCTATTACTCTACCTATTGAGGCTGGACATAAGTACTTCATTACTTTGATTGATAACTACTCTAGATATACTTGGGTTTACCCTATGCGATCTAGAGATGAAGTGCCCAAAATTGTGAAAGACTTTCAATGCATGGTTTTCACTCAGTTCCAAACTGAAATTCATATTTTCCAGTCGGACAATGCAAAAGAATACTTCCATAGTGACCTCACGAAGTTCTTTGCTTCGTGTGGACCTCTTCATTGAGGCTCTTGTGCTAGTACACCCTGAAAGCTGAAATGCTGTAGCCGAAGTAGCAGAAGAGAGAAGAAGASCAAGAGRTGYTGAGAATGTYGAACTRAACTACCCAGTCGACAGTACTGTTATTTATAGTACATTACAATACAATGTTATAGGAAATGTCTAGAATGCCCCTGATTAGTGATGGGACACCCAGACTACTTAAAACAACAAATAAACTTAGGCCCATTAACACAGGCCCAGTACATAACAACTAAAACACAAATACAAACTAATAAGGACACTTACCATCAATACATAAAACCCTTCAACCTAACACTCCCCCTTAAGCTAAGCATGGATGTTCATCATGTTTAGCTTGCCAAAAAGGTACTTGAATTTTGCTGCAGCCAGCCCTTTGGTCAGTACATCTGTAATTTGCATCTCAGATGGAGTATAAGGAATGCAGAGTTCTCCCGAGACTATTCTCTCYCTAACAAAATGTCGATCAATCTCAATATGTTTTGTCCTGTCATGTTGCACAGGGTTATTTGCAATGTTGATGGCCGCCTTGTTGTCACAATACAGTCTGAGAGGGCCCTCAGCTTTAATGCCAAGCTCATTTAGAAGAGTCCTAAGCCATAGGAGTTCAGCAACCCCGTGAGCCATAGCTCGATATTCAGCTTCCGCACTTGATCTAGCAACAACATTCTGCTTCTTACTCCACCGTGTAACCAGGTTCCCTCCCACAAATGTACAATATCCTGAGGTTGATTTTCTGTCTCCAACAGACCCAGCCCAATCAGCATCAGTGTAGGCTTCAATTTCAAGTCTGTTGTTTTTTCTGAATAAAATTCCTTTCCCTGGGCAAGTCTTCAAGTACCTGAGAATCCTTTCAACTGCTTTCATATGAGGAATCTTTGGAGAGTGCATGAACTGACTAACAACATGCACAGCATAAGCAATATCTGGTCGAGTGAGAGATAAATATATCAGCTTCCCTACCAACTTTTGGTATCTCTCTCTGTCACAGTAGTCCTCCCCTACTGATTCCTGTAGGCCATGATTTTGTTCTATCGGAGTATCTGCTGGTCTACACCCTATCATGCCTGTCTCCTCAAGGAGGTCAAGAACATACTTCCGCTGACATATGTAGATCCCCTCTCTTGACCTGGCAACTTCAATCCCAAGAAAATATCTTAAATGGCCCAAGTCTTTGATCTCAAATTCAGAAGCTAAAAACTCCTTCAATCTTTTGATCTCATCCAAGTCATTCCCGGTAATCACCATATCATCCACATAAACAATGAGTGTTGTAAGGTTGCTACCCTGTCTCCTTATGAATAGGGTATGGTCTGCACCACTTTGAGTGTACCCTACTTTCTTCATGGCCCCACAAAGCCTCTCAAACCATGCACGAGGAGACTGCTTCAAGCCATATAATGCTTTCCTCAGTTTGCACACCTTTCCATCGAAGTCATAGCCTGGTGGAGGTTCCATAAATACTTCTTCATGAAGGTCACCATTTAGGAAGGCATTCTTCACATCCAGCTGATGAAGTTCCCATGAAAAATTTGCTGCCAATGACAATAGAACCCGAATTGTATTGAGCTTTGCTACTGGGGCAAAGGTTTCTTTGTAGTCAATCCCTTCTTTCTGAGTAAACCCCTTTGCCACAAGCCTGGCCTTGTACCTTTCAATGGACCCGTCCTCCCTATGCTTTACAGTAAACACCCATTTGCACCCAACAGTGCTCTTCCCCTCTGGCAGATCCACTAATTCCCAAGTTCTTGCCTTCATTAGGGCTTTCATTTCTTCATTCATAGCTTCTTTCCACCTTGGATCAGACACAGCCTCTGAGTATCTAGAAGGAACATGTACAGAGGAAAGAGCAGACACAAAAGAGTGATAGGCTAGAGATAAAT